ATGGCACAAACTGATGATGCCTGGGTCAAGGTCAGATGCACTGATTCAAGTCATTAGATATTTCACATCATGTAATTTCTTAATCTAAAACATAAATGTCTTTCTTATGTGATCCTTGACTGATGGAGAGCAAATAAGAAGCAAAAACTCAGAAAGTATGTTTAGGCTGAAAGGAGGACTCAGTTCTCTTGAGATGTACCACCTGAGGGAAATAGGAGTCTAGATGGGCTTCTCCAATTTCCCCCCAATTATCTAATCACTGTGTGAATTCCAAATATTATAAGTTGTGCAAAACATTTTTCCAGAAACACTTCTCATTTTAGGGGGAGTATCTCAATAAAGCGAAAGGCAGAGTAGCACTGAAACTGAGTATGTGTTTTCACAAAAGGTTATAGGATGTCTGCACAGTGCCTTTTGTTAGCTAAACCGCAGATGAGTATCTGCATTCTAATCCAAACTGTTAGGAAATCTCTTTTTGACAACCCAGGGCATAGAAAAACGAGTCTATTGCCTCAGCAAATGAGATTGTTGCGATCACTTGGTGCAGGGGGAAATAAATGCAGAGTCAAATGATTCTGAATTGCAAGCCTAGGGAGTTCTTGGAGCCGTGCCAAGAAAGAATTTAATCCAGACCACTTTGTTGCAAGAGCCATGAAAAGTGGAAAAAAAAATTATAACATCAGTTCTAACTCAATCACAGGTGGACTACAGTAAACCACATTTTGTAGAAAAGTTAAATGATTTTTTTTACATCAAAAATATCAGATTTGTCTTTTAATGCAACTGCATTTGCACAGTTATCAAATATACTTTTGCTAAAATTGACATGTTTTATCATGATGGTTCTGTTGTCTTTGGATTTATATTATGGGATATGAAATTGAAGGTAGGAAAGAAAGTTATACATGAAAGTTATAAATGGAATGTCTTTTAGCAATTGAATCAAAGTTAATCCCACAAATTTATACGCTATTTTTTTTAAATTAAGTGAGTATTTACTGAGTTTTTGAAGAAGAAATCAAGGAGTTTTAATTTGCAAACACAAAGATTAATTATACTAGAAATAAACTTCAAGTAGCCATGATAGGGAAGTTTATACTAGAAATAAACTTCAAGTAGCTATGATAGGGAAGGGAAAAATAGCTCTCTGACATGAACCTCAGATTTGCTAAAAAAAAGGCTAGTTTCCAAACAATTAAAATTTCAAAAGCCATGCTGTAGTGAAATAGTGGAATAATCTATAATAACTGCATGAAATAACTTTTACATTTCCATCCTGCACTATCCCACTTTCAACTAAGTAACAGCTGCACTTTTATTGCATGAGCAAACCTTCCAAAATGTCTTAAGAGTTGTTGAACATTCATATTGCACCAGGGTGAAATAAATCTGCTCAGAGGTGAGCCCTGGTTCTTTTTCCAATAAAATTCACTTTTAAGTAAATGCGAATAGGATTACAGATCTAATGTTTTATCAGGGTGTGGGGTTTTAGGTTACTTGGAATTTTGGCTTCATGTTCTTCTTTGCCTGAGTACCTCTGGGAAATGCTCAAAAGAGATAAAGAAGACAACAATTTAGAATAGCTAGACATGAGTAAAGAAGGAAGAATAATGTTCGTGGTGGTGTCAAAGCTGTTATTCTGTTAATATTTGTAACACTGATGCAAAATTTGTAATATTATGCAAAATTCTCTATCTTCCTAGTGCGTTTTTGACATTCAAGTCCTATTTCTCAGCAGCAAAATATTGTAGTGTGAGTATTTATAAGAATAATTTCACTC